TATGAAGTTTATAACAAAATGGCTTAATCTATTCTACTTAGATTCAATAGTTCATATGTTTAGTAAGATATTATCAAATTTTGTCTTTTTAAGTCAACAATAGATTCTCTATTTAAAGTCAACCAAATTTTAAGCGAAAAATTTGAGATGTTGGTGGCTTAACTCGAAGCAAGTAAATATAATTTTTTGTTTAACTAGTTAAGCAAGAGGCGGACTAAGTTAGGCTTCATTTGGGACGGCTTTCGTATTACTTTCTAAGAAATCAATATGTGATGCAAAGATCTTAGTTGTTAATGATTTATATAATAGATTAGATACTAAAGAGTGAAAAAGATATATGTATAAGTTAGCCAAACAAAGAAATATGAGTAATAAGGATTTAGATCAAGTGAAATGTATTGAAGATGAAAATCAAAAAGTATTTTTCTTAGAAGATGATATTCAACAAAGGTGGATGTGATATTTTGCTAAACTTTTTAATGAAGAATGTAAAAATACGATTGACTTTAGTGATCTTAGCACCCTAAATGAAAATAAAATTTTCTGTTTTTATCGTCGCATTATTAAAACCGAAGTTAGAGATGCTTTAAAAATAAAAAGTGTGGAAAATCTGTTGGATCTGATGATATTTCGATAGAGATGTGGAAATGCTTAGGAGTTAAAGGAACTTCTTAGTTTACTAAACTTTTTAATATTATTTTGAAGACTAAAAAGATGTCAGATTAGTGGAGAATATGTGTGTTAATTCTTATTTTTAAGAATAAAGGTGATTCATAAGATTGTATGAATTATAGATGAATTAAGTAAATGTGTCATAATTTAAAACTATGGGAGCGAGTTATGGAGCCTTGGTTGTGGCGTGATACTAATGTTTCTCAAAATCAATTTGGATTCATGCTGGGTAGGTCTACTATGAAAGCCAAACATTTATTGAGAGGTTTGATGGAGAAATATTGAGAGAATAAGGATGATCTACATATGGTATTTGTTGATTTAGAGAAAGCATACAAATAAAGCTCCAAGAAAAGTGCTATGGAGAGTTCTTCAAAAGAAATTAGTTAATAACGCTAATATTCAAATCATTAAAGATATGTATGCATGAGTTGTTACTTGTGTTCAAACACAAGGTGGTTTGACCAAGTATTTTCCTACTTCGGTTGGATTACCTCAAGGATTAGCCTTATGCCCATATCTTTTTTCTTTAGTCATGGATGTTCTCACTAGAAATTTACAAGAGGATGTACCTTAGCGTATGCTTTTTACTGATGATATTCTTCTTGTTGATAAGACTCGAGATGGAGTTGAAGGTAAACTTGAATTATATAGATCAACCTTATAGTCTAAAGATTTTTACTTTGGTAGATCTAAAACTGAATATATGGAGTGCAATTTTAGTAGTAATAGACCTAGTGAGGGGGTTGTAACTGTGGGCAATCAAGTCATTAGTAAGAGTACATGTTTTAGATATCTTGGATCTTTTGTTCAGAGTGATGGTGAAATAGATGGAGATATTATCGACAAAATTCAAGTTGGATGGTTGATGTGGAGGAATGCATATAGCTTGTTGTGTGATAGAAAAGTCCCCCTCAAACTTAAGGGAAAATTCTATGAGATGGTGGTGAGACCTGCAATGCTTTATGGTACCGAATGTTGGCCATTAAAAGAGAAGTATAATACTAAGTTAAGTGTTGCATAGATGAGGATGCTCGGGTGGATGAGTTACTTTAGCCTTAGATATAGGATATGAAATGAGCATATATGATAAAAGGTTAGAGTAGCATCAGTGGAAGATAAGATTAGAGAGAGTCGTCTTAGATGGTTTGGTTATATAAAATGACGGCCTTCTGATGACTCGGTTAGAAAAGTAGGGGTATTATATTTGACTTATGTTAAGAAAGGTAGAGGTATTCCTAAAAAGATTTGGTTAGAAAATATTAAAAATGATATTTCTTTATTATATTTAAACAAGAATTTGACTTTTAACATAACACAATGGAGAAAAAGGATTCATGTAGCCAACCCCACGTAGTGGGACAAAGGCTTGATTTTGTTATTGTTGTTGTTATAAATTTTGTACAAAAATAATGTTTAAAAAAGAAATAAGAAAGTTGTCCCAAATGAAACCTTAGATAGATGAATTGCATAGACTCTAGTTTGAAATGTCTAAAAATGTAAAACTACTCCGTAAGTGAGTTATGGAATTCATGCAGACAAAAAATACACACTTGATGAAGTCACTCTAATACTCAGTTTTATCCAAGAAAAAAAAAATATATATATATATAAAGCTCAATAAGAAAATCAAGCTCAACATTAATTTTCCATGCTTGATAGTGCTTTAATTTATAGCAAAAGTTACTTATTTTTTATATAAGGAGATCATATCTAAGGCTTGAGTTGAGAGAGGGAGCATTTTAATGATAGTCTTCCTTAAGATTAGTATATCTAATTTTATACTTGTTTCTAGAAGATTCTCATGTTGGCTTATATAAAGAAGGTTGTAGTAGGTAATAGAGGCAATGAATATTATAGGCCAAATTTTGAGAAGGAGCATGTTTCTTCCACCTTTTATCGATAGCAGCGTGTTTGGAAATAAATTTGAGAACAAGCCAATGCGCTGAAGGCATCGGCGCATTCACAAAATGCGCGCAATTGAGTAGCGCATTCTTTGAATGCGCCTAATTGAATGGCGCATTCAAAGAATGCGCATATACTTTCAGCGTATTCTTTATTGGTTCAGTGATTGCGCTGAATGATGTAGCGTATTCCTTGATGGCTTCTGTGTAACAGTCTTTTCCTAGTATTTCTGTCTTTTTCCTAGTATTTACGTCGATATCGCAATATGATTGGGCAAAGTTTTCAGTGAGGATCGAGCTCACTTGGACGGGCTACCCAGATTTCAACGAAATTGTTATCATTTTAATGTAACAATTTCAAGGCAACAATTTGAATATATTAGCTATTTTTAAATATTTTTGAATGAACCTAAAGTAAAAATCGTATGTGTAAATTGTTACATTAAAAATCGTTAGTGTAAATTTTATTTTTATACATTCATAGAACTGAAAATTAAATATAAAAAGTTTTGCTAAAATTCTCATATTAAATTTGATTAAAACTGATTTGAACAAATTTTAGATAATTTAATTTAAATTAAAATTTAATTTTAATCAACATTTGAGGGATTTACATACATACAACTAAAAAGTTTTTTTTTATTAACATATTTAACATTACATCTTCATTATTTAGTCATAAAATATTTAAAAATCTAAGTAATAATTTAAATTTCATATATCCTCGTCAAAGCTTAGCGCATCATCGAGATCCCGTCACGACTACCACATCATTGAGCTTCGCATGTCTTTAGTCCCATCGCCGCCTACATTTCTAATAAAATTTGGATACTCCAACTCTCCAAGATAGTTTCAACTCATTTTCATTAAGTTCATATAACAATTTTTTTCGTTTGAGACAACTTTTTTAAATTAACTTTTTAATATCAAAATTCTTAATTCGATATGATTTCACAATGTTAATGTTTTGGATTTCAAATGGCAGCAGGTAATTGTTGGGAAATATTTTTTTAATCTTTTTTATAAAACAATATATTAGTTTATCATTATTATAATTTGGAATTAAAAAAAAAAAAAATTCGAACTGTAATGGCTTAAGTGCTATGAACCCATAATAATTTGCAAAAAGGTAAGACAAAAATTACATTAAATGACGAAGCTACTGTTCTGGCTTAAAATTTTCTTAAATTTACATTTTAAGTTTTAGTTAGTAATTATAGTTATTATGGTTATTAATGACGAAGCAAGTGTGCCTTAATATCAATATACTTTAAAATAAATTTTAAAGTTAGGTCAATTATGAGATTTAGTTAATGAAAAATGAGAGAAAATGGTGAAATAGTTATTAAAATAAGTTTAGAATGTTATTT